TTCCAAACTTGGTTATTGAAAATTGGAGTTTTCGCTATAATTTTAGCTTGATAGAGAGTAATAAATCATTACTTCTTCCATTTTCCATACTGATATATATATCTTAAAGTTAATCAAATGCCTTTTCTTGCGCAACCGATTACCCAAGACGAAATGTATGCTTAAAGTCTATTTTAACAAATAGGTCGAATAATATTGTTAAGAGTTCAGCCCAAACAGTGTGGCCAACCTTCTAGTGAATCTTATTTCCAAACTCTTCCCAACGTAATTATTACATTTTTGTAAAACACTGACCACACTAATTACAACAACTGTAAAGTCAAAGTACAATATCAACAATAAAAGTATAATAATTAGGGAAACGGAATCTTATAAAAAAATGCTGAGCATACCTAAACATGATAGGATAGATTTACAGGTTAATGCACGTCAATGTAATGATTGTCAGTTGAATTATATTGATGAACAAAGGAGAATTAAACAGACAACAGGCAAAAAAAAATATCAATGAGCGTTTCAAATAGCCCAAAGTTCAATACCCCAACCATAGAATAACCCCTAAATCATTCAATAAATTTACCCAATCAATCGGTTTACCAAAAAATGGTAATATGTGACAACGTACTAAATATTTTTCGACAATAAACGCCTCGGCCTTTTTTAACATTAGTATCAAACCATTCACCTTGCCACCTTTAACTATTTTCTAATTTCCATTATTCCTCTTTACTGTCAACGGACTCAGTTAAACTTTTTAAATGTGTTTATGATGGAATAGAGTCCAGCACTCCACCACTTACTTCTATTTACACTCGTTTCTCTAGTAACTAATGCGATAAATATCGTCGGTATATAGGTATATTTATTACTATAATGTATATAATATCTAGTATATAGCTATATATATACCATACTATATCTAGTTTATATATTATGTTTAATTAGATCATATCCTTATCGGGTTGAAAGTATGTCGTGGTACGGGTAGATCCCAATGGTGGAGCGCAGAGACATTTGGTAGCGTCCCAAGGCGTGGTATTTATATTTGTATATATAAAGATAAGAGTATAAATCAGGACGAGTATCAATTCTAATTATTTTAGTATTATTTATGGAAGTTCTAGGTCCATATTCATTTTTGTTATGTTGTTTTGATTTGTGGCGATAATTAGATTTTTAACTTAAATAGCAAATTTGTTAGAGTATAACATTGAAAGATGTTATGGAGATAATTAACATCTTTAGGTATTTAAAATTAATTGAAACCCACAAAGCAGGTATATTATTGTTAATTAATATCATTGAGTTATAAATATTTCAACTTACAGAAATAAGTTGTACCAGATGAGGCTGCCAAACTTTTCTTTTTAGCGCGTTAACACCCTTCATTTCTAATTTATATAGTCTTATCACATATTAAACGTCGGAGAATATATGCCGTTCCATTATACGAGAAAATGCTTTAACTATTTCATGAGATCTCAATTAAGGATTAGATCATCTTTCTTTCAGGGTCGAAAACTGAATGCATTAATTGCTTCTTAATTAGATTTAATGTCCCCACCCATAACTCCAACTACTTTTTGAATTGCAACCCAAATGTATATATTTAAACTATATCCCTATTTCGGCTCATTGTAAAGCTCCTTGGTTTCTTTATTGATCATTAATTGCCTATGAGTAGGAATGGAATAATTGAGGAAGAATATGTAATGTAAAATAAGTCATATGTAATGGGCTGAATGAAGTCTGTGTGATTAAAAAGAAAAGTTAGCAGCTCACTTTTGTACAACTTATTTCCTTAATTGGAATATTTATAACTCAATGATATTATTAACAATAATATACCTCTTTTTGGTTTCAATTAATTTTAATACCTAAAGATTTAATATCTCCATAACATCTTCAATGTTATACTCTACAAATAAGCTATTTAAGTTAAAAAATGTAATTATCCCCACAAATCAAAACAATAACAAAAATAAATATTCAAACCATAAAACTTAATAAATAATACTTAAAATAATTAAATTGATACTCCTGATTTAATACTCTTATCTTATATAAAAATATAAATAACCCTTGACCTCCAAATTCCTCTCTTCAACCATGATCTACCACACGAGCAATACTTAAACCCGCATATAAAGGATATGATCTAATTTACATCATATATATATACACACACGATATTCACATATTATAGAGAAACATATGTGAATATTAAAGTAAGTGGTGGAGTGCTGACCACCCACATAACACTTAAAAGTTTAAATTGAGTCGTTGACAGTAGAGGAATAATGGAAATTAGAAGATAGTTCAAGGTGCAAGGTGAAAGGTTTGATCCTAATGTTAAAAAAGGCGAGGCGTTATTGTCGAAAAATATTTAGTATGTTGTCACACATTTTTGTAAACCGATTGGATTCTATAACTGTATTCATGGTACTCTGAGTTTTTATATTTAAATTTTCAAGTATTAATCTTTTATTTATGTTGGGTTCTACCGCTAAAATATGAAACTGATAAAAATTTATTGAATGATTTAGGTTAATTCTATGTTGGGGTATTGAACTTTGTCTATTTGTAACCTCATTGATATTTTTTCTGTTGTCTGTTTAATTCTTCTCTTTGTTCATTCAATATAATTCAACTGACAATCATTACATTGACGTGCATTAACTGTATCTATCCTATCATGTTTAGGTATCCTCAACATTTTTTATAAGATTCTGTTTCCTAATTATTATACTTTTATTGTTGATATTGTACTTTCACTTTAACTGTTGTTGTAATAGTGTTGTCAGTGTCTTTACAAATGTAATAATTACGTTGGGAGGAGTTTGAATAGATTCACTAGAAAGGTTGGCCACACTGTTGGGCGGAACTCTTAAAATTTTATTGACCTATTTGTTAATAGATTTAAGCATACATTTCTCTGGGTAATGGTTGTCCAAAAGCATTTGTTTAACTTTATAAAGATTTTCAGTATGGAACTGATGATGTAATAATTTAATACTTCTATCAACTAAATTATAGGAAACTCCAATTTTCATCCAAGTTGGATGACGAGATAAAAAATCCAATATAATCGCTGAAAAAAGAGGTTTAGTATACCAATTGGTTTCTAATTTGTTATTATGTCTAAAAATTGTAACATCAAGGAAGTTAGTCCGATTATGTTCTCCTTTTTTAACTCAATTTGGATAGATTTATTAAATTTATTAAACAGTTCTAAAATTAATCGAATTTTCTCCTCTTCTATAATAATAAATAAATCGTCTACGTACCTGATATAAAGAACTAGTACTAATCTGAGCTAATTTTTTTTGTTCAATGTAGCCCAGCATTATTTCAGAGAAAAGGGAGCTAATGGACCTCCGATAGAGCAGCCTGGCTTTTTGGAATACATTTTGATGTTGAACTTAAAATTTATATTATTTAGGAAAAAACCTAACACAAATCATATTTCTTGTTCAGGAATTGACATTTTGAACAAAAATTTTTTCAGTTTTAATTTTGGTTGTCCATAATTTAAAATAAGTGACTAAACAACAAGTAAATAGAACAATTGGAATACCAAAATAATCGCGCTGTAAATTTCATTTTAATTTTCATTGGTATTATCATAATTTTTAAAATAAATTTTCAAAAACGTAAGAACAGTATTAACATGGAACTTATTAAATTTGAAGAATTCCAAATGAATGCGGAGGAAAAAAATCTGTGAGTAATGTTAGTGAATGAATGAACGTTCAAACGTTCGACTTGTCACTTAAGTGTGAAAATACCGATTTCCAAATGAATGTTATCCACAACTTATTCTTATTAAACTTAACACCTTATTCACATAAACGTAAAAAACATTCGCCTATTAATGTTTATTTTGAGATATTACTCAGGCGTGACCGCTGCAGAAGGAGGTCTGCCGACACACTTCAGACGGTTGTTTGTGGGCAACAGAGCACACCTGCTAAATTTGTTTAGAGGGCGAGAAGCGGGCGTGCATCTTACCTGCCACCCAGTTGCCGAAATTGAGCACCTCCAGGGGTGAGGGCTCTGGGACGAAGGATTGCATTTTGTCTACTAGTTTCCGAAATGATACAAAAAGATGGAATTTTATCAAGTGCAGCGTGTCTGAGTGGCGGGAATACATTTATTTAAATGAAACTGTATTTAATTACAGTAATAAAATCTCTCTTTCTCTACATCAGTTTCCAGTCCCATTTAATATTTAACTGATCTCACTTTGCCAATTACTTCAGGCTGGTCACACATTCAACCCACACACACCTATTGATAGTGTAACGTCGCGGGTAGTGATCTACGTCACAAAGAAAACAGACTCGAGTGAGCATTTACAAGATGATTCACATTCATTTACATATATACAAAACATCACGCTTAAGGTGTTTTGTTGGAGCTACCATTGCAGCTCCCCTCTCCCTACCTGCGCCATGCGGAGGCGCCTGCAACAGGCCTGCTAGGCCGCCTCGCAATTCGGCATCAGGTATGAACCGGCAGATCGATAATCTGCATTACGGTGTTCCAGGAACACTTCGCCCGGTCCGAACACATCGAACCTACTCGTGCCATCTGCACTCCGCACCAGCCTGGGCGGCGTTTTGTGGATTTCCCACGACACGAAGTCAAAGTTGTTACCCTCCCGCGCCATCGCGACGCCACGTTATATAGGGGCGAGTCACATGACCTCCCACGTCATTTCTCCTCCCACGCGTTGCATTGACACTTGTCTCTGACGCAGCCTTTTGCACGCGACCCCTTTCTTTCTGGCAAATTATACCTTTTGTTCAGGTGGCTATTTTTAGTTCGCTCAACCTTGTGCGTCAACGCTGAGCCGGGTGCAAGCCTTGACGCTACAATATATCCTGGAGATAGAAAATAACTATCACACCAGATTGTTATTGAGAAACGTTGCTTTTGCGGGTTTTATTTGTCCAAAGCGTGTTACACGGCGCCGTGTCCGCAGGCGCAGGTGCTGGATGGGGGACGTGTCGGAGTCGCTGAGGGTGGCACGTTTGCAATTGCTGAGTCGCGAGGAGTGCGAGGCGGCGGTGGCAGACCCCCGATGGGCAGGCAGGCAGCTCTGCACCAAACCCATCCACGGCGCAGCCACCCCTTGGAAGGTGAGCATCGCTCTTGCACGCTCTCGCTTGGCACTGTGAAAGATGGGCATCGTTCTGCACGCTCTTGCTTGGCACTGTGAAAGGTGAGCATCGCTCTCGCTTGGCACTGTGAAAGGTGACCATCGCTCTCGCTTGGCACTGTGAAAGGTGGGCATCAGTCATCATCCTTCCACTGAACAGCGTATTCTACGCCATTCAACTCATTCATTTGATCTAGCTGATTTGTAACAATAATACTCGCTTCCTCCCGCACGGCGGCCACACCAAAGCCGAACGCAGTGCTGCCGCCTTAACGAATTTTATAAGTGTGTATACTGGAGTAGGACAGGTGCACTGTTTCGTAATTTTGCATCGGCTGGCGGAAGTCTGGTTGAAGGTGCGAAACGTACCCTTTGATCTCTTTTATCGCATCAGTAGTAAACGTGTGTAGTCTAATTAGTTGATGATTATCCTATTGTCACTTTTCCTCCCGTTAGGAAGCTTTACGATACGCAACTGGTTGATGTGTTTATTGTTCTACAGGGAGACTCAGGCGGCCCGCTCGTCCAAGATGGAGTTGTGGTGGGTGTGGTGTCAAGGGGTTATTGGCGTAATTCATTGGCTCTCTACACGCGAGTATCGGCCTTTCGCGGTTGGATCGACGACACCATTCGTTCCAACGAATAGCAGTAGCAAAGATGTAGCCGTAGCAGATAATTAATCTTGTTAACCCTGAGATATGTAATAAGATATGTGAAGTGCCCAGCTCATATAAATACCTGAAGATAATAATAGATCCTTCGTACTAATTTGGGAAATATCTAGAAGTGAATGAAGAATACTTTTGTTACTATTATACAAATTTCTTTTATTATTATATGTTGTGACATTCCCCACAATCCTCCTTTTATACACTCTTTTCTACTTTATTACATTTAGTTGGATTATTATTATTATTATTATTATTATTATTATTATTATTATTATTATTGTATTAATATATTCGTCCGCATTAGAAATGTCAATCTATTAAGTATTTATCCGCGGTCTATATTTATTTAAAATCGTAACCTTCTTTTATTTATTCAATTATCCTGCTATTCTATATGACCCCCGAATTTTCACTCTCGCGAAAAAAATTTATAGGCGTGGGTACGATAGATCAACCGTACGGACTCCCGATGACACGGGATTACTTATTCTAACATGGACTCGGGAATTCTCTAGGGCTTCCCATGAAATAAATATACTTTCAAAATGCCGAACAAATACAACGTTTTTGCAGTGCTGTATATACATACACAGATACATAATATTCTCCTTTTACGTTTTCATCATCACAATAGCAACAAATGATTAATATAACGTTTTACAAAATTACTATAATTGTAAAGCTGTAATTTACAAAATAACTGTATACAACGGTGTTAATATTCTATTAAATAAACCCCTTCCTTTTTTTGCATTCTTTGGCCAAATTATTTCCCCAATTACAAATTTATCTGTCTTCAACCTTGAAAAAAAAACATTTAAGTTTGCTACATTATTTTCTGCTAACAAAATGCCCCCGCATCATTTCTTTTCATCGTGAAGCACTTGCTGCAAGCTTGGCCGAGGTTCGACGTTTCATTCCATTTCCATATTTTCATATAGTTCAATTAATCATGTCGCTCCGCTTTTCCTGATACTCATTTTCATTTCCATCTTAAAACATGCGTCTATTTTCACTTTGCCATATTTAAACTATCCGTAATAAAACAGCGATGCATCTGCACGTCGTTCCACGGCCAAGTCTGACCAAGCTCTCCCTCGTTTCGAATAGCGCGCGTTCGTCTCTTGTTTTCTCCTGCGCGAACTCTTTTCCAAAAACGTGTCTTCCTACCTCTGTACGCGCATCTTAACCCTCCATTGTTTACCTCAGCCGGACTGAGTGGTTCAAGAACTTTCGCAACGAACGGCTCTGCCGATCTGAGTCATCCAATCAGGCTACCTTCAAAAATTAACGTTAAATTTTGCTCTTATTACAAAAAGACGCTTGTCTCTTCCATCGTGGGTGGATGTGTTATTTTCGGATCTCCACAGACACACAATACTAAAATTTTACAAAGTTATGGTAGTGCTTTGTGGCCAATATAAAAGTGAAAACTGGATTATAAGTTCCAAATCCTACAGCAGAGTACACGCTGCTGAAATTAGATTTTTGAGGTCGATCCTTGAATTAACAAGAGGAGTCCGATTGAAAAACGAGACCATCCGAGATAACACGGGAATTTTCAATCTAAACGACAAAATCAAAGATTATAGAAAGAAATGGAAGGACCATGTACTAAGGATGAAAAATAATTGTTTACCTAAACAACTCCTCTTCTATACACCTCGAGGGAGAAGAAACATTGGCAGACCTAAAAGAAGATGGAGTGATTAACGAGTCGCATCAGACCAACAGGTCGAATGCCTGACGGAGAAGAAGAAGAATCTTGACTCTTTGTTGGTGTTAAATGACGTCTTGCATCCCCAATGCCCCATCCTGTTCACATTCATTCTTCATAATTTCCCTTGCATCTTATTTTATTTTAGTCGATATATTTTATAATTGCTAAAAAAATCCCTTTAGGTAATTTGACATCCCTCAATATTGTTATTACTATTAAATAAAATATTTAATTGGTTTATACTACTTTTCTACTTAGGCATGCTACAGAAATTCACATAAAAATGATCTATCAATATGTTTATCGTTCATTTGCCCTGCTATACACAAATATTTCAGTGTAGGCCAAATTTATATCTCCTTTATTCCATTAACATTTTCTTATGGATTTCGATGAACAACATGCTGCCCTCTTACCTGTCATAACGTCGTCAGATTTTAAAACCTGGTAAGTCTCATTTCTGTGAAAAATCATTATTCATGTTTAACACGTTCAAGAATCATTAAACAAATGTCCATCATATGTTAAAACTTCGCAAGTTTATTCACAATATGTCGCAAACAATATATTCCATAACCTCTCGAGACAACAAGGGAGATTTGGATGTTATAAAAACTGGAATGTTTGACTTGCATTTAAAATCTGAGGTCATTAGGAATGTATTAAGAAATAAATACTCTCATGTTTTACTGCGATATCTAATAAATTAAATTAAGTGAACTTCAAGATCTAAAACCTTACACGTTAGGCTTGCAAGTTTTCAAAACAAGCTTTTTCTGACAGAATTCTACAAATTTAATGAAAATGTTTTAACAATTACTGCAGTTTAAAACTTGGGATCTCTTGTGTGACGTTATTTCTGAACCTTCTCGTGGACTCAGCAGATCGGTTGAATTAAATATCTTGTTTAAAGTATTTTTTGCCGAACGGTGAAGTAACAGTGCAAAAAAGACTTTTGCTCATGGTAGGTAGGTTATAAGAGACGTAAGATAATACCGTATACACATTAATGGCAAAATTATTTTAATTTATATTCTTATATTGAATTGGTAGAAATGAAAGGAGAGAAAGGCATAAACACAAAAAAAGACGAAGAATTTTCAAAAAGAAAACTATATTTTTCCACTTGAACATGGAAAATGGTGTAGAACGCATTCCTGTGCGCAAATTAACGTTCTCGAACACTTTGGGTATAAACAAATGGTGTGCTCATATCTGGCCAAAGAAAAAATGAACAAAGAGCTGTTTACAGCATCGGTGAAGAGTAAAACAGTATGCGCAAGTAAAAAGGGAAATTGCTAAAAAATTTTGGAAAAGTTACCAAAAATGGAATCGCACTTTTGTAGGAATGACTTTAATAAATCCTATATATAACCTATTTGGAGATCCAAAGTTGAATTTTTCGTCATTATACAGAATGTTCTAGCAACAAGAATATTGTCCTATTGAAAACATATATTCTATGCTGTTATCAACGAAATGAATATTTGGTTGTAACAATTCAAAAAACATGAGTTCGATGTTAGCATTGGATTCAAAACAGGAATTGTAAAAGAAGAAACCATATAAATAATCAAGAAAGGAAACACGACGCAAGAAATGAAATATCAAATGACAAGGAAAAAGGCCAGACAATGAACACGAACTTACAAGATGTACTGTTGGAGCCGTGGTTAAAAGCGTCAGAACTATAAACTAAATATACAGTGCATATATTCTAAAGTAAAAACTATAAATAAAACTGGACAAAGAAATTTAATTAAACAGCGCATACCGTGACCTATTTTGATGTAAAGAATAGATATAGGATTTGCTTTCTTTGGGGTGACACTAAAGGACCATTCTCAGGTAATGAGATTGCATTTGGAATTAGTCATTTCATAACTAACAAAGTTGTTTTCTTCAGGTAAGTTTATGGAATGACGTTTGTACTTATCAGAACAGTACTACATCTGTATCTAATGTCATTCGCAGAGAAGCCAATGACCATAAATATAGCCAATACAAGTGTTTTGTCGAAAAATTACAATATATTTTTCTACATTTCGTAAGCAGTAGCGAGAAAGTAAAAATATTGAGACACATCAGAGAGAAATGAGTCATTCTAATGTCTCTCTGAACATCTTTTAGAGCTGATACGGAATGTCTCATATGAATGTGATATCTTCCCATCTATAAAGTCAAAGACGGCAATTGACGACAGATAAGATACTTCAGGCCTTAGAAATTCAGTGATATACATAATTTATTTATAATCCCTTCTCAGAACTTTATCCCTGGAGCGCCACAAGAATGATAACAAACATACAGATATGAATAAGATAGAACAGAATGTACAACCAGTCCAGTCGTTTTTAGTTGTCAAATAACGCTCCATTTCACCTGCCAAGATGAGATTATCCTCACTAAGATTTCTAACATGTGAGTACGAATAATTATGGTAATTAATATTTTTAAGATGCGAATTTATTTTAATTTCGATCCTTTCACCACCACGTACATTTGCAAGGATTTTCCGAGGCAAAAATTATTGCATAGATTTCAGCTTTCTAATCAGGCGAAGAGATGATTCACGGAATACATATTTCACATAATGTTGTTTTCTTTGTTCATATACATGTCAATTACGTACCTATGTATTCATTTGTTTCCTCGTTTATCGTTTAAATAGTTATTTGGGATTGTATTCAAATCTTGAAATAAAAAGAACGAAATATATAATTAAATTTGCATTGCTACAACAGCACGTACTTTCTCGCGCTGGTAACGGTTAAAACACCGCAATTTCTGTCCAAACTAACACCTCCCAGCCATTATATTTCATGAATCTGCTGCATAACTACATTACATGAATTGGAAATCGATATTTTAATTTTGGGTGTAATTTTCATGAAGCCCCTGGGACATTTTCAAAATTTTAAAAAATATGGAGCAATCGATTTTGACTAAATTCGGTTGCTGGATAGATTGAAGGATGTTTAAGAGAATGGCGCAGGTCACATGTTGGTGAAAACTAACTTTTCAAAATTCAAAATATTTTCGGCGACTTCCTATAACTACAATTATGAAGATACAATTTTTTCCTTAGTGAAATGTGTTCATCAATAACAGATTATTAAATAAGGTCATGTTAAATGTTTCAAAAACATGAGTATTTTTCACGAAATTTTGTGTTGAACACAGCCAATATTTATTTTCTCTAAC